GTACTCATATTGAAGGAAACTTCAACTTTCTAGAATCTCATGATGGAAGAAGCTAGGAAGGAAGGAAAGAAGTAGAGAAGGAAGGAAGGAAGGGAAGGGAAGGGAAGGGAAGGGAAGGGAGAAAGTCAGACCTTGGCTTTGTAGCTCTTGAGCCAGACCTATTCCAGAGGGCAAACTGTTTGGGGAGCCAGCAAAGCCATACCAAGAACACCGTGGCTGATGATGGATGTGGCCACTGACCAGAAGCCATCATGCCCTGGCAGAAGGTGCAGGGCAGAGAGGGACAAGTGGAGCCTCTTTGTCTTTGTCATCATAGACCAGAGTGCCCAGGATACTGGGAAACTCATTTGTTCTGGGAGGAGGAGAGGGAAAGAGGAGAAGGAGGAAATATGACCAGCTCACTCTGCTCTATAATCACTGGAAGGGAAAGACCTTTCTGAGGCAGTTGGGGCTGCTACCTGGAAGTACCCTGACTGTGAGCCTGGGTGTCATAAGTCACCAGGGCTCTGTCAGCTGCAGCCCCTCCCTCTGGCTCAGTACAGAGGTGATGGTTGTTTTGCTGGCAGCAGCGACAGTGCCGTGTCTCAGAGGGCTGGGGCAGGGCAGGTGTCTGCCTGCCTGTGGACGCAGGCCCACTTCGTGTGCTCTCCCTTGGGTGTGATGAGGGAGAGAGCAGCGCTGGATCTCTGTCTCTGGGAATGTGGCCCAGCAGCCTGGCAGAGCTGGAATGCCTTTGGCCAGCTCTTTGTGAGCAGTTAAAGACAATCAGGAGATGAGTCTCATTACCAGAGTACTGGGGTGGCTGGAGCATTTCTCCTAGGTTTCAAAATCAACTGAGGTCACTGCAGCATCCTTGCTGCTCTTACTACATGCCCCAAGTAGTTTTCCAAGTTGTAAGTGTTCAGCTTGTACTGCATTTGCCCAGCCCAGGTGGGCATGCCCAAGGGATGGATGCACCAAAGTAGACTTTTAATAGTTTGCCTCCTTGTTCCATCTGTCACAGACAGGGAAGCATACACAATAAAAGGTTAGCAGATGTCTCCCTTTACCACCGCCAGTGGGTACA